ATTTTCGGTGAACTCCGGCGATGACAGCGGCGAGAACGATCTACTCTGGTGAGGATGATGACCACCGATGGTGGGGACTTTGGCGACGTGGCGGTGGGGAACAGTGAAGAGAGGGTTAGGGTTTCGGTTTGGGAACAGGTGAGAGAGGGGTGTGGGTTGGGTGATGACTTCACGGGGTTGGGTCTTATTTAGGCGTCTACAACTTCACGGGAGTTGAACTCCCGTGGAGTTGTAGTCAAAAATTTTCCGAAAGTTGGCTTTCTGGAAATTAGACTGAAACTCCACAGGAGTTTAACTCCCATGAAATTTTTGGCAAGTTACAAACTTCATGGGAGTTGAACTTCCGTGAAGTTTATTCAACAAATACAAGTTCACGGGAGTTCAACTCCCGTGAAGTTTGTTTAAGAGACAAAACTTCATGGGAGTTGAACTCACGTGAAGTTTTAGTAGATTGTTAAAAATCTGCTAAACTTCATGGGAGTTCAACTCCCGTGAAGTTTCAGAATTTTTTTTTAAAACCGACCTGGTTTCTTCGTCAGGGTTGAAACCAGGTCGTTTTTTAAAAATAAGTGCAAAAGATCGAGGTTGTTTTTTAGGATTAAATGTTGAAAGGGGTTGGTTTTAAAAAATTTTCTAAACGTGAAGAATGGGGTTTTTCAGCCTATTTCTATCGGTTGAGGGAGGAAATGGAAGTGAAAATTTTTCTGACGTGGAAAGGTTTTTCGGAGTCCATTTCCCAATTTATTGTTGCGTATCAAACCGGTTACTTAGAGTGAGAGTAGTGAAAACTGTTTCTAAGGCCACTTTAGATGAACCAAGCAGGCCCTAATATCTTTAGTAAGCTTATTTTGTATTGTCTTGATCGTGGTCCAAATGATAAGAACAATCTCAGGGACTAAACATTTGATTACTATTTAATTTAGTTATAAAAAATAATTGATTTTTATTTTTCAATTACGACCCTAAACCACACATTTAAGATTATTGTCTTTTCACTTATTCCACGTCTTGCTTGCATAAAAATTGAAGTATGAACTGATGTCGAGTATTTCAACCTCGATGATCTATTAATGTATGCGAAGCTTGTGACCATATTCTGAAGCAACTTACACCTAGGGGTGAAAATGAACCAAATAATTAACAAATTGTTCGATAATTGTTCGAATAATTATTCGGTCATATTCGATTCGGTAGTTCATTTACCACTTAATAAATATTTTTTAGTATTTGAGTTTACTAACAAATAGAATTTAACCAGATGTATATTCGATTCGTTTGTCTATTAAATATTCGTTTAAAATTTGAGCACAACTTATTATTTGTATTATTGCACATATGATGTCATATTTTTAACCCACTTACTATTTCTACTTAAGTTTTATATACTAATTTTAAGACTTAAATAATCTTAAATCTGTTAATTAAAATTTAGATTTAAATACATATATATACATCATATATTATAAAGGAATAATTCTTATTTATGGATTTTAATACTATTTGAAGATCAAATTATTTAGCGGAATAAATATACTTTGATATTCGATAAGTATTCATGAATATTCATGAATATTTATCAAATACCAAGTATATTCGATAAGTATTCATGAATATTCATGAATATTTATCAAATACCAAGTATTCGAGTTCGAATTCGAAAAACTAGATATATGAATATTAGAGTCCGCATTCGAATTCGATAATTTTAAACAATTACAAATACAAACACCTTAGTATTCGATTTGATTCGATCGTTTACCACCCCTACTTACACCCGTCTATATTACTTTTCCTTTTAATTTTTTTTCTTTTACTTTTTTTTATTTACTTTTACTGAAGTCACGTGACCTGAAATTGAACATTCAAGCCTCACCAATATATCAACTTGTCTGCATGACTAGTAATGATCTATTCTGCTAACCTGGAGCGTCTATTGTGTTAAATTTTAGAAGTTAAACCTTAGAATCCCTTTGAACTACATCATCCGCTGACAAATACGAGATATGTTAGGACTTTTCATTTAGGGCGCGTTTGGTTCACATTTTTTCAGCCCGAAAGCTGACACAAATGTCCATTCTGTGTCAGATTTCAAGCTCAAAAAATTGAAACCAAACGCGCCCTTAATATGCCTGCATCCTTTCCCTGTACCTAAAGATGTGAAATCTGATTTTTCATGTCAATAGCCACAATTAAAAGGAAAATTTAGAAAAATGGCACACGCGTAGCACAAATTTCCAGAAAAATATTTGCTCGATGGCTTCTTCTATAGTGACAGTGAAGGAACAATATCTAGTGGGCATGGGAAAAACCTAGTTGCAAGTGCACAACTATCAAGTTATAGTATAAAAGATCGATTGAATCCTCGAGGAAGGTGTTGTAGGAATTAATCAAAATTGGTATCTAAGTTATGTGTTGTGTAGACAATTAAGAGTGATAATTGTGGAGAGATAAAGAGAGTGAGTGTGTTTATATGCAAATAAAGCAAAACTAGATTAAGAGTGGAAGAAGAGATTAAACGAAAATAAGAAACAAATAAATAGAAATCAAGAATAAAAGGGAAAATCACAAGTAAAAAAGAGAGAAAAACAATTAGAGAAATGGGGAATCTAGAATTGAATCCACTAACAAATTTCACTTAGAATTTATGAACTATTCTCCTGTTATCATATTTTACTTTAAATTTATTAAGTATAGACTATCAAACCACTTAAGGAAAACATAACATATTAAATTATCATTCAAGTAAAATTAACATACATGAAAAAAAAAATAACAACTTGATATTAATTCTAGAATTTATAAGTATAAACTACCAAACCACTCAAGATAAACATAGATTATAAAATTCTTCTTCTACCAATTAGTTCTCTAGTTGATTATCCTAAACATGATCATTTTAAGAACGACAGCAATTCACAAATCATAAAATATATAAAACTAGTTTTATACAATTCTAGAATTCCTATAAGATTTTAGTTACACATTTTGAGACATAAAAAGATAAAATCTAAAATAAAGACTATGAAAGAAAGTGAACAAAATATAAGGAAATAAAAAATAACTACAAAGTAAGAATAAGAACAAACAAAAAAAAATCTAAACTATGAATATAAAAATAAATCTAACTACAAAAAGAAAAACTTAAGAAAGTAAGTCTATCTTACCAAATAAAAATACAAGAAAATAGTATAAAAATAAAGACATAGAAATAAATCTACTCTGTAAGGCATCAAATTAAATCTAATCTATGAAAATAAATCCTAAAACATGAATATCTAAGCAAAAATAAAAAAGAAAAAGAAAAACTTACACCCTACAACAACGAATGGTAAATCTTGGATTTTGCTTAGAGAACACGAATTAAATCTCCGTTAGAAACTATTTCTGTTGCGAAGCAATCGGTTGGCCAATTAGTTGGTCGACCAATTGGTTTGCTATAGATTTTTATTTTTATTGATTTCTTGACTTGATTTCTTCATGGATTCTTAAGCTTTCTTAGGAGCTTCTTTTGTCTTCATATTTGGGCTTCAATAAATGGTAGAAAATCAGGGAATTTGATTCTTTTAGACTTTTATTCATTAATGCTTTATTAACTATAAATTATGATAAAATATGTTATTAGTAATATATTTATGTAAGTAAGATAAATATTGATGGTAAAAAAATGTAATATAAATATGATTATCATGAGTTTTGACTTTATGGTCTGAAAAGACAAGAAATGGCCTTGGAAAGAGACTAAGAGGCTTCCAGTGTTGAGGAAATTGATGATATTAGGGAGATGGATCTTGGGCTTTGAGTTGAAGAAGAGAAGAAGGATGAAGAAGAAGGGAAGTGGAAATAGCTAGGGGATGGTTTTATTGACGGGTTTCTTGGAATTTCGTGGGCATTGTTGTTGTTATTGGACGTTTTTTGTGAAGGTGAAAGAGGAGGGTGATGGGGAGTTGAAGAGGAGGAAGAAGGGGTTTTGGCATTCAAGCGGTGTGGAGCTTGCAGCAAACATGATGATGATGACGCTGATAAGAGATTAGAGATGAAAGATGTTTCACAAGACTGAGGGTTTGCTACTTTGCGGATATATATAGAGAAAACGGGAGGTGAGCTGGCAGCGTAAGAAATTTCCTACGCTGCAAGTGTATGACATGTGAGCCCCCCTACTAGTCACATCGGTGTGGGGCTCACATGTCATACACTTGCAGCGTAGGAAATTTCCTACGCTGCCAGCTCACCTCCCGTTTTCAAAACGGGAGGTGAGCTGGCAGCGTAAGAAATTTCCTACGCTGCAAGTGTATGACATGTGAGCCCCCCTACTAGTCACATCGGTGTGGGGCTCACATGTCATACACTTGCAGCGTAGGAGGCTAAAGTCAGAAATTGAGGCTGATGAAGTACTTGATTAACCATAGTTAAATATTCAGGAAGGGACTGAAACAGTTGATGCACCTCATGACACTCATACCAGGCTAGCCAGTCTTCATATGTGGAATCACATCCAAGAAGCATGGAGCGTAATTCTGTCCAAAAAGCTTGCATTTGTCCATAATGAGACTGCAGAGAGGAACAACATTTGCTTTATAGAGCAACGCGTTACAGAAGATAATAATCTTTGAACGAAAAAAACCCAAGGTTAGAATGGAACCCGAAGATTTAAATTAGAAACCCAAGGTTAGATTGGAACCTGAAGGTTGTTTGATGCTTTCGGGGGATTTTTTTAAAGTTGTTTTAGTCGAGCATGTTTTGGATTAAAACGAGGGCCACCAGACGTATATCTAGCAAAAGCTATCCGGTGTACATGACAGCTGATCAAACACGCACTTTGCAACAAGCAGACGGGTCCGACAATATGCTGGCACATGAACTTTCATATTCAGGTCTCCAAATTGACTCTGAAAAACAATTACTCCACCATCACTCTATCAAGTAACTATGGATCACAGAGTTGAGACCATGCCTACTTGTATCAGCTTGAGGGCGTACTAGCTAAAACAACTCAGGCAGCATGCGAGCAAACAGTGTCTAATTTATTGATATACTATGCTGCAGTTGATTACCATGTGTTAAAGAGAATGAATGTTCTGAATCTATATCAGACGAGACAAGAGCATTGACGGGAAAGAATATACAATTATTCCTGGGACAACTTTGTCCAGACAAATTAAACATCATCAGTGTCACTTCCCCCAACATGAACTTCATGGCTTAGCAAGTAATTGCTTCCATCAGGACCTGTAACTTTGAACCTGTTCAAGGGTAAAGCTCGCCTGAGTAAAGCATCATGTTATATTCATACATAATTTTGATGCTTGTTTTATTCAAATAACAACAGAATAACAAGTAAAGGTTGAAGAGAACTAGTAGAAATATATTAGAAAGAACCTTTCAAGAATAAATTTTCCTTCTTTATATTTCTGGCTCTTTTCATGTGCAGCCTCCTGTGTAATAAAAAGATTACGCCAATAACATTAGTTGGAAGTAACAATGTTGATCACATACTTAATCAACTCACATATTTCCATCCCACAATTGACCCACAACCAACACAGAATATGTCAGCAACTGTGTGCATCCCAGTCATCATCATCCTCTCCTCATTCAACCCAACAGTAACATTCACTCTGTGAAGCATTGGCCGATATTACATCAAAAATATTAACAGGCACAAATCTGTTAATAAAATAGAATAAAATATGGTGTAAAAGGATATCAACATTCTCATAGAGCATAGGTCAGTTAATAACTTTTGGTTCATAGGATCCATGTGCAATCTTAGAAATACATAAACTGCCTCTAAACATTCTTTTGCGGTGTCTAATCAACAAGTGGAAGCCAGATCTAAGACAAACCGGCACATTAAATGCCCATGATTTATGTTCTCTTTGGAAATGTGTGCCGAAGGCATCATTTTCTGAAAATATATCTGCCTTCCTAATTTAATAAGTTCACTAAAAAACTTCAATAGATGCTAGCATCAGATGGATGGATTAATGGGTATGCACATGCACTCTTCTCCTGTTTCCAGCCGGAAAAAAACCCACTCGTCCATACACCCAACAAACACTAATAGCAACACAAACAAATCACCACCAAACCACCACGAAGAGGAGAGGAAGATAACCTTCAGTTAGGAACAAAATTTCAGTAGATACCAAGGACTAATAACAAGGAACTTCTTCTCCTCTTCGCCCCACCCCAGTCCCAGAAACAGGCAGGTAAAAGAAAAACCCACCCAAAAGAACACCTAGTCTGTACTATACTAATGCCGGAGCTAGAGATTTGTCTAAATGAGTATGCCATGCTCTCTGTTGCAGAGGTATTACATATTTCCCATTCATTCTATATGCTGGATGAGCAACTGTTTATGACTAGGTAAAGAAGTTTTTTTGCTTCTATACCTAGCACAAGTTTTTGTGCTTGGTAATGAGGTGCCTCATTCTCATCCACTCTCCAACTCATGTGAATGTGGCCCCCCATTTGAATGAGTGGAGGAGAATATGCTACCTCACTATCAAGCACAAAAACTTGTGTTTGGTACCAACCAGAGAAAAATGGAGGAACTTGGTACCATGCACAAGTTTGTGCTTGGCAGTGAGGTCTCTCATTCTCATCCACTCTCCAACTCATGTGAATGTGGCCCCCCATTTGAATGAGTGGAGGAGAATATGCTACCTCACTATCAAGCACAAAAACTTGTGTTTGGTACCAAACATACCTATAACATAAAAACTTGTGCTTGGTACCAAGCATACTCATTTTTCTCATATATATATATATGAAAAAAATGAGTATGTTTGGTACCAAGCACAAGTTTTTGTGCTTGGTAGTGAGGTGACATATTCTATATTCCCCTCCATTCATTGAAATCAGGGTTCACATTCACATGGGTTGGGGAGTAGTTGAGAATTGGAATGAGTGTATGAGAATATGACACCTCACTACCAAGTATAAAATTTGTGCTTGGTACGAAGCATACTCATTCTCTCTCTCTCTCTCTCTCTCTCTCTCTCTCTCTCTCTATATATATATATGATGATTTGAAATGGGTTCTGAGTGAAAAAATTCTAGTTCCCTCTAAAATTTTTCAACGGCATCAACATCGACGATGGAACTTAGAGTAATTTAGTAACTACGTATCTATGATTAATCCAAACCCAACCATACTACAGATTTAAGGGACTAATATTGAAAAACCCTTTTAAATAGGATAAATGAAAACGTTCCTCCACTAAGGGGCTGTATGGTTACTTAAATCACCAAAGAAAGCCCATTCCCACTTCTAGGAGAGCTTCTACCTCAGCTAAAACATTTCTTTTCTTTTCATCGCTTTGGTTCATTTTGTAGGCATCAAAAATTATTTATAGGTCCCCGTACGCGGCTCGAGACACAGAAAAGATGATGAACGTTACTATCTGAGTCACAAAAGCTTAATCGACATTGACAAGCGCATGAAGTGAGTCAACGAACCATGCGAAACAACGGAACTTCGGAATAATGGAAACACGAACAAATCGGGAGCTCCGCGCCACTTACGAAAGATAAAATACCCCCGTGTCTCATCCACTCCATAGATGATTCAATCATGGGAGCTTGTGGATCTTCTCGACGGCTTTTTGATGCATCTTAAATCGCATGATTCTGAGTTCGGACGACGAAGATATGGCTGAAACGGACAAGACGCGCAGAACTACGTTCCGGGCCTCGGCGAGACACCTCTTGGTGTCTCGGCCAGGCCGGCGTCCACATTCGCGAAAACCGATTTTTAGCAGTTTTAAGCTATTTTTCGATGTTAACAGCCTGGATTTGTTCTAACTGATAAAATATCATCCAAGAACGTGGTTAAGTGGTTATAACTGAGTATAAGAGTGAATCAACCGTTCTTATCTGAAAACAAAACTCCCGAAGCCTATAAATATAGCCCCAGGGCCTTTATTTTTTGAGAGCTGGAATTCTCGAGCGTTGGCGAAGCCCTGGACTAAAGGAGCATGAATTTTAGAAGAGAGAAGGAGATCGGATCGAGTTCGTCGACATAAAGAAGAGGAGCTCGTAAGATCTACACGTCTCGGTGCTTTGCCTTAAGATTGCCCTATTGCGGTGATCTCGAGAAGAGTGATTATCTCGCCGTTACTGAGATAATTGCTTCTGCTTCTTGATTCCTTCGCGAATTGATGAAGCTCCGGATCTGATATGATCGTTTGGTGGTCCACAGATATCAACATCCCCGTCACAGGCCAAGATCCTACGCAAACAGCGGGCGATAAACACCCGTTGCGCTGTTTGACGAGAGTTGTACTTTTTTTTATTTTTATTGTGTAAGGGTCTTATAAAAAGACTAATCTTTTTATTTTCATTGTAACGATTGAAGTTGTAATGAACACTGCAATGAATACATCAACTTTCTCTCTAAACAAGCTGGCGATCACAATGGGAGGCAATAGTTTCGTCGTCGAGGTTGTCGTGCCACAGCCGACGATCAAGATCCTCGTGGCTGAAGAGGTCGAATACGAGTTCGACCAACAGAAGTTTGAGGAGTACGTCTCCTCCTCCTCCTCCAGATCCACCTCTCTTCGCAAGTGTAGGAAGGCCTTATCCTCCCGGAAGATCCATTGGTCTTCAGATCTGAATACCCAACAAGACGATCTCTCCACTGCCGCTGCTGCAGTTGTACCTCACGATGACCAGACAACGTTCGATGAAGCCAAAGTCACAGATCCAGACACCACCTCCATTAAGGAGTTGACTGTTGAAGGCGTGCTAAATTTGTCGAAGAGGGCTCGTCAAAGGCATCGTCCACGTCTTTCCCGCCAATTCGCTAAGGCTTTGGAGAAAGTGGATGGTCTCCGCTACCAAACGGATCTAAAATCTAGGAGACGCAAATGGCTAAACCATCGCCACAGCGAGCTTTGGGAACCTTCTCCCAACCACCTACTAACGAATGGGTTCGTGTCAAACGAAACCATTCCACTCTTGAGGAGCACATTTAGAAGCATCGCGCACTTCTTACGCATGCCCAGATCCTTGTGCGAAAAGCACAAGAAATGTAAAAGGAAGAGGCGGTTAAGAGATCACCGAGATCCAAACAAGTTTGGATGCCAAAGGCCAAATCAACGCCTAAGGCAAAAGCAAGCAACGTTGCTCCCCAGTCTTCATTAACTTTGGATCCCACTCCTTCTGCCACCACACCTTCAGTGAAACCCTACAGCGACATAGACCTCTCCAAATTTAGAATTCCGTTGAAGGGTCGCCTGGGTCCTTTACACGAAGATCAAGGCAAAGCGCCTGTTAAGGAACGCTTGGGACCGTTGAAGGAACCCCGAGCAACCATCCAGACTAGGGGTCGTATGCGACATCCTAACAAGATGATTCCCGTAACTACCCCACGTGGAGATGCCTGCACAAAACCAGGAGCCCGTTAAAATTTCATCCTCACACGGGTGTGATTCCAAACGTATGACTCCTGCTAAAGCCAATAAAGCGCTACCTATTCAGAAGAAGACGTGCCGAACAGACGACAGCATTCCATATAAGGAATCAAACCAACAGCCGATAGGTTACTCTGATCGTAACGTTGATGGGTTGTACTATCGGACTGGGGGTATGAATAAATCTCGAAAGAGAATTATCCGGGAAGCGGACTCTCACTGTCCGTGTACCAAACTTATCAGGGTAGTATTATCAGCGTGTAGCTACCCCAAGACCGCTCCACAGAGGGTCTCGGTATTCGAGAGGATCTACAATAGAACGACTAAGTCCAAGCCAAAGTGTTTCCATAAGAAACGATCAGTCGTTCAAGGTGACAAATTTCCAAAAGTTACGGTAAATATGGTTGATAAGAGAAAGTCGGCTCGACCTTCTAGCTTCGACCCTCTTGTATCGCATCGTCTGACTCGGCTACGCGCAAGGACCACTAGACGCAGGGATTATCAGAGAATGCAGAGGGGATTATCCTCGGATGATGAAGCATCAAATGCTAACTCTGTAGTCACTTCTGATAAAACAGTATCCAGCCCTGGACAATCCCACGTAGTATTTATGATTAACACTAAGGAAGTAGCCAAAATGGTTGAGGATGCTCTAACTAAGTAGAAGCAAGCATTCAAATTCGAAATGGAAATGACTATGCTACGGATGAGGGAAGAGCATGACCAACAAATCCGAGTTTTGTCGAATCAGATAGGTGAATCCAGTCGTCGCAACGATATTAGCCAAACGGTTAGCGATTCAGATGAGGATGAACACCTTAATAATGATAACCCTCTCGTTGATCAAAACACTGGGGATGGCCTCACTGAGAACAACAACACTGGGGGTGGCCGCATTATTCCTCTTGGAAATTGTCCAAAATAGGATATAGATGAGGAAGAAAAGATGAAGGATCTCGAGAGCAAAATCGACGTTCTGATGTCTGCTCAAGAGGTGAAGAAGATCAGGATTTTGTGTCCTTACCCAAGAGAGTGGGATTCAATCCCGTATCCGACAAAGTTCAACCTGATCAACTTCATGCCGTTCGACGGGAAGGGCTCGTCCACTCAACATTTGATCTATTTCAAATCCCACTTGGGCATGATTTCTAGCAACGAAGCCTTGATGGTTCGGTTATTCGTTGGCACCCTCCGCGGGCCTGCTTTCAATTGGTACAGCCATCTCAAGCCTAGAAGTACCAACAGCTGGAACGATATGGAGAGCTCATCCCTCAGCAATTTCTTTGACGACGACGCCGAGATATCCATCAAGACACTCTTTGAGGAGAAACAGGATTGTAGGCGTCAAAAATTGCCTATAGGTCCCCGAACACAGCTCGAGACGGAGAGAAGATGACGAACGTCGTTATCTGAGTCTAAGAGGATTATCTGACGCCGACAACCGCCTGAAGCGAAACGGCGAATCAAGTGACCTACACGCTCGACAGTCAGCTCGTACCCGCCAATCAGCTCGCATGTATCAGTCAACATGCGTGCGTCAATCAGTTCATGCGTGTCGATCAACACACGCGTGACAGTCAGTTCGTGCACGTCGGTCAATACGCACACGTTAATCAGCTTGCACGCGTCGGTCAACACGCGCACGTCAACCAATTCGTGCGCATGCGTCAATCAACATGCGTACGTCAAACAACACGCATGCGTCAATCAACACGCGTTCGACGGTCGGTTCCGCAACGAAGCGTACAAGTCAACAAGACGATCAATTACGCAAAACGGCGGAAAATACAATGTTAGACCCTAGAGGGGGGATGATTAGGGTCTTATGCTAATCTAATCCGATTAAATACCAATTAAAATTAATTAATGAGTTATCCTAGCAAGTATGAAATACAACAATATAGATGAGCTAGGATAAGCAATATGAACAACAAGATATATCCTAACAAAGAGATATAGGCAATGTATATGCAAGGATATAAAACTAACACAAGGGTAAACAA